GCCGGTGCAGAAACTCACCATAGTGTGCTAAGAAACCCACTTAGCTTTGAGAGCCTTGGCAACCCTCGGTCTATGAACAAGGACTTCCCCCTGATCATTTTTAGCAGCGTAAGTGGTAGCCATATCTCGTTTGGCCCAAGCACAGGCGTGTTTCACATTGCGCATGCGATGCTTCCAATCCTGCACTTGCCGTTGCTGTGTCTGCTTAAGGAAGGCAGACAATCGCCCTTGCACGAGGCTTCTAGCACAACCCCAGTGGCCCTGCTCAAGAGCCCTCTGCTCTTCGCGGCTTAGGGCCCCGCAATAAGTTTCTCTCTGACCTACGCTGATCCAAGTTCCCAGACTGCACGAGCCAGTTCTCAGCCCTATTGCACCAGTTGGCCCAGAGGTCCTCAAGAGGCTGGTTGTGGTGAGGGTCAGCAACCCAAGAAACTTGCTCAAGAGGCCTCTCACCATAAAGCAGCTTTCTACACTGCGTAAACCTCCAGAAGGTGTCACGAGAAGGCCTATCAAACTCAGCCGCGCTGTGGTCCCCCGAAGCAGCTCTTTCCACCCCAGGGTGCTCACAAACCATGTCTTGGCTAGCCCAAACAGCATCAATAGGATGAGAGCTACGCAGGTGTCTGGCCACAGCCCGACGCTCCCCTCCTATGCTTTGGAAGGCATCCGGCACCGGACCTTCAAGCTGGTTAGCACAAGGCAGATGTTTTTGGATGATTCTCTGGCAAGAGCCTCTGTTGCTGTTCCTGGGACGGAAACTAGGTCTAACCACCCGGCTAAAAAAGTGCGCAAGCGTTTGTTCGGGAAACAGATCCTGAAGGAGGGTTTGACTACTGCCGCCTCGCAAGCAAGACACCATCAGGATTTACTCGGAACCCGCTATGAGAGGGATCCCTAATCTTCCTATTGTACCGGCTCCGCCGCAGACTGCTCCGGTCCTTTGGTGGACTTGTGGTCTTTGTGGGTACCAGGTCTTCAAAAAGCCGGGGGTGGCGGGCCACTCACACTATAGGAAGACTCATGAGCGGGAGGTGCACGGCATTAAGTCCAGCTCGCTCAGGAAGAGCGCTCCTTTGCCTGCAAGGCAACGCGGCTCGGGAACATGGCTACTTCTATGCAACAGCGGTGGAAGAGCCAAGGGGAGGCTCTGGAGACCAAGGGCTGGTGGGAGCGCACAGAATCTCGCTGGAGCCTGTGTCTTGGAGACAAAACAACAACAAAGGTCGGATCAACTACTCGCCTGAGCACGAGTGTTCTTTGTGCCACAAAAAGTACTGCAGGAACATGCTTGTGGACAGCCTACAAAGGCAAGCCGGCAAAGCTGAGTGTGCGCAAAAAGTTGTGGACGCAGAGCCGCAAGGCGGCGGCTAAGGTGCTCCTTGACCAGCGCAAAGCTAGGCTGAAGGGCCTCAGTAAACACGAGGTTTGTGCTAGAGCTAGACAGGCACGCTCTGACAAGTTGAGGGCGGCCAAGCAAGCTTGGCAGAGTCGCCCAGCGCATGGTGACTCTTGACAAGCACAGGCCTGCGCAGGACAGTGTCTTGTGCGGGCCAAACCGGACGGCCTCAGAGGCGCTACTTAGGGCACAGGACCTTGCTGCGCAGGGTCGGGGCCTCAGAGAGTTCAGAGAAGCCCTTCCCGTAGGTCACGTAGCTGTGGGACCCCGGGGCCGCACAACATGTCTTCCTGGCATGCCCATGCTGAAGACTTGATGATGGAGGCAACCGCCAACAATGTTGACGTTGTGTTATTGCAAGAAACCAACCTTTCCCAGCAAGCCGCACCGGCTGCATCGGTGATGGCAAAAATGAAAGGTTGGCAGCTTCTGCATGTCCCTCATGCCGGGACAGGCAACGGAGGCGTGAGCATGCTTGTTAGGGAGCCTTGGGTGGCTACCGCCTTGAGGCAGGACTCCACACAGGAGGGGAGCTTTCTCATTGCCGAAGTTTTTGAAGGGACCCAGGGCTGTTGTTATTGTTAGTTTGTATCGTAAGCCTACTGCTTCCTGGCAGCTCATCCATAGCATGGCGCATGAGCTGCATGCGCTTAGGGGGCGTAGTTGGGTTTTGGGTACTGACTGCAATGGAGAAAGCACTCCAGAACCACGCTTACTGGGGCTCTAGGGGACCGAGAATCAAGCCGATTAAGGGTCGTTTTAGGGCCTCGTCCACTAGGAGCAGAACAGGATCAACTAACACCGGGGCGAAAAAACCCGTTCAGAAGCTTCAATTTTAGACTTCGAGGTCCCCGAAGAAGGCTCAAGGCCTCCGCAGGAGCTAGCTGACTTACCTACGAGATCCTCAGGTGACACGGGAGGCGCCCTTTTGGGAAGAACCAGAACAGGGGGGGCCCCGAGAGGCCCCAAAAGCCCGTTCAGAAGCTTCTATTTTGGGTTTCGAGGTTTCTGGGGTTCTTCTAAAGGCACTGCAGAAAGAGGGAGACCTATGCACTGGAACCTTAGAAGAAGCGGAGGGAACCCTTTTGGAACAGTGCAAACGGAGAGTGCTTGCCCTCGCCTAGATACCTCCTCGCCTGGACGGAGTGCAAGACGGCAGTCCGAGGAAGGTGTCCTTGTTGCCAGCCCCCCTAAGCTCGCTAGGTTTTCGCCCAGGAGTCTCATGCAGCCAAGTTTGGGGGCACTTGTTTTCGAGGTCCTCAAAGATGAGTGCCCTGAAATGACCCTGTCGCCGAGCTAAGCAAAGAGGAAGAGGGGCCTTCTTAGCTCTACCAGCGATCCCGTCATCGACCCAGGGCGCCAAAACAACACGTTGCCACGAAGTGGGGTAGTCGACGCCATCCTGTCGCCGGGATAAGCGACAAGGAAAATGCAGAGGGAAGCGGGTGCCATCGAGGATGATCGTGCCACGAGACATTCCTTAGATGCCCCCCGCCCCCGCCACCCTGCTCGAGCCAGCGTGTCATCTCCTTAGAAGGACTTGCCCTGAGTGACTCGCAACCTCAGTACACAAGGTGCAACGATCTACCCAATCAGACCCAGAACCCCCCTACCACAGAAGGAAGCGACCTCTTCGTTGCGGCCTCTGGCCGCCACTTCAAGACGCCTGATTTCACCTAGCTGAGCGAGCAGCCGTATCACTTGAGGGCCTGCGTGGTGGGCACACGTAGGACCGAGAAGCGGCAAAAGAGCTCGTAACCGTTACGGTCGTATGGCCTCAAGCCCCACTCGCAGCCACTCATCCACCCCCGGGAGAGGGGGCACAACACCCCTCCCAAAGGGTCGGTGGAGCGAATACTTCAGAAGTAGGTGGAGCTAGAGCCAAAATGGTTACGGATTCCTAGCTCTCTCTCTCTCTCTGTCTCTCTTGTCTCTATCCGTATCTTGCGCGGGGCTACGCGTCGGAGCCTTGGTCCAGAATCACCACGGCGAGTGAGGTCAGATTAAGGGCCGACCACAAGGTTCTTGCTGCCCAGATACTGCAAATCTTTTACCCAACCCCCCTTGAAAACACCCTCCCAAAGCCAAGAGACGGAGCCAAGGCCAGGAATCCCAAACACAACCCTTGCGCCTGGCTGAACATCTCACAGCTTGGGATGGGATTGCGAGCCCACTCCTTAAAGTTCAAGCTTGAGGGTTGAGGCTTTGATGGCGCGGGCGTCTGGGCTTGAAAGCTCTATGCCTAAACTTGCCGGGTTCACCGCTATTGTGGTCCTGCCTTGTCGGCAGCTCAGGGAAGATTTGGGCATCAGAGGATGTGAAAGCTTCCAAGCAGCTGGCTTAAACCCCTCGATTTCGTCACACTGTCTCTGCTCCTTCAGTTGAAATCCTTCGGTCTAGAGATGTACGAAATATTTCTTCCCATGCGAGCTACCGTGCTCTACAGCAGCTGTCGAGGTCTCATTTTCTGACGTGGCCGCGTCGCACTACCAGCCGGGTAGGTGCCCTCCTTTACCACTCGCCTCTGCAGATCATGCATGTGGTTTAAAGGATCAGGAAGTGTGGCAGTCATCCGAAGGCTAGTAACTCAAAACAGCGTGACGTATACTTGCAGCGACATTGAAATCCAAGAGCTATCGAGCATGAGGTTTACACCATCGATATGCCAGACTAAGACATGTCAGGTGCAGCATCGACGTAGCATTGCGTGTTATTGGCAGTTAACATCCCGTCTTGCCACGGCCACCACCATGCACACACCCGTAAGGACGACAACAATGTAGCTTGTGGAAACACTTGGGATGACGCAGGGAGCGAATGTACTCCGTGCTGGCAACGCTGAAACAGCTCACTTGCAGAAATACACCCCCTGTGCAGCAGCTGCGAGAGGACAAGAGGTTCCTTATCACCCATCCACACTGGCACCGGGCGGCAGGGGCAGCTCCAGGTAGGGCAGGTTCGGGCCAATCAGCTGCCCCATCCTCGGCCAGTGCGACACCCTGAGAGTCACTGCGTGAAGTACTAAGCAAATAGGAACCAAGAACCAACAGTTCCTCACAGAACACAACATGAATGCATCGAGCAAAAGGTCGGTCAGCTGCAGAAAAAAATCGGAGTTACTTTCAAAAAGCAAAAAACATTCTGAACAGATTCCAGCATCTGCGTAATGTTGCCTCGGGGCTTGGGCGTTTCCGAGGCTTCTATAGTTTCGTGCAAGCACAATCACTTTGGGAGACATGTTTCAAAAACAAAGCCCCGCCCAGTGTGAGTATCTAGAGATCGGAAATCCGACAGTACCAGCAAGAGAAAGGTCTTCCGTCAGGGTGTGGGCTGGAAGCTTTCCGCTTTCTCAAGTTTCATCCGTCACCAGTCCTTACTCACCATCTACAGGCATGCACAATGCACTTAAGACGAGAGGTGACAGAACAGAACCTTTGCTGCTTCAAACCGATGAAAACTCCTCATTGACAGGGCTTGCAAATACAATCCTGCTTTTAACAGCCAAAGAAAGCTTAACGTTGTAAACGCAACTGGCTGTGACTCAAGGCTCAAGATCTGTAGGGCATCCTCCCGATGCCTCCTGGTCCTCTTGAAAAATTGTTGTTTAAAAGGCTTGCAAAATGGAAATCATGCGCATTTGGCACCGATTCAGCACCTGCCAACTAAACAGTAGCATTCTTGAAATACAAAACCCCTTCGACGAGAACCACATCAAAAGCTGGACCGCTCGAAAACTAACAAATCCCAAGTGACCGTACCGGATCCATTGCTTGTCGGTGGCAAAGCGCAGCCTCAACTGGTGACCAGAATTGGGAGGGGTTTCAAGCGCCGGTTCCAAAACCGCGGAAAGTACACCCGCAACTCTAGACGTTAGATGATGACCGCTGCACCTCACTTTGCACGAATCCTATCCTGCCCTGGCCAGCAGCTTAAGCTTCGAAGGTGATATGATAAACTCTTACCTTGCGAGTCGAATACTCCAGGAATGCATGAAGACGTACTACCACCTACCCAGTATCTACCCAGATTTTGAGCACAAACTGCCGGGGTTGCAGTCGCAGCTGGAAAGCACATTCTGACACCACCAGGGGACACATGCTTCTGGAAGCACTCCTCTGTAATGCTGGATGATTTCGGGCAAAGCCTGTAGGAGTAGCCGCCTCATCAAGGCAGGTGCTGAGTTGTGGTGACCAAAACGCTCCGGATATCCCGATGCACTTGCACCCATTAGCAAAGTCAACATCCCCAAGCACTTCCAGCCCCGAAGGTGACGGTTTCAAGGCCACCTCCATGGTTCGCGGTGATGGCCCAAGCGACCTCCAGCCAGTTCAGCGGTCTCCAAATCAATCTTGCAGGAAAGCATGGTTTTTCATCCTCACTAGTTAACGAGCCCGCTCAGAATCCTATAAAGCCAATATGGTTCCGCACGAATCAGAAATTCGGAATGGCATCTGATCATCTGATTTAAGGCAGGCATGTTCCGCCACCACAAACACATGTGGATTGGAGCACTTCTCAAGGCAGGGGCGCCCCAATTTATCTCTAAACCATAGGATCCTCTTTGTAGGGGCCAGGGCTCAGAAGCTTGCAACCTGCAGAATGATCATTCCCGCTGAACGCAGCCCACGCCTCCTGTGCCGAGCCCTTCGGCCAAATCATAGCCTCCTCCAGAGGGTGCAATTCATATTAAATGAACTGTGGTAGAAAGGGATTCAAAGTTGGTGGATGGGACCCCAAAGAGCCGGACCAGTACTTGCAAGCATCCGTGTGCGTTCGCAGGTGTCGCATGCGCTCTGGATGTGGCAAGCTGAAGGAGTAGCATCGTGGCCAGCATCGGTGGCATCGATCTTGAAACCGTTAAGGGTCCAAGCCATAGACTTTATCCTCCGTGCCCGGCGTGCTCGGACAGCAACCTAGGTGAGGTCTCCATGTGGATTGACATACCCTGAGCCAGCCCTGTCTAAAACTTGATCCGTAGACCCCAAAGAACCAAGAGGCCTCGTATGACTACCTATGAAGACATGATGAGGGGAAGTCACTCCTTTTATCAGAAATTTGGCTAGCATCACAGTTTAGGAGCTTTTGATTTCAATCGGAACGCACTTTGTTGTCTTGCCCTATACTGCACACATCAGTTTGAGAACGCCTCGAGGCCCTGCAGCTTCCAGCCCTCGGCTCTTGCGCCCTCACACCATCCGTATGAGCACCATAATGGATCCTTCTGCCTGATCGCACCATAGAAGGCACAGAATGGCACAAATAATTTCTGAGTGGCGGGTGTTGCTGAGTGGTGTTCGGAACTTCAAGTAGTGAGCAGTTGTACGGGTCAACTTTTAACCTCAATCCTCAACCCTCTGCCCTGAGCTCATGCACCAAAGTACACCCAATCCTAAACGCAGTGAACTCTAAATCCTCGACCTTAACGTCAGCTGCCTAAACTCACCAGACCTGCTAACTAAACCCTAAACTCCATCAACCTAGTCAAAGGTGCCCAGAACAAACTGAGAAGCTACAAAGCCCCAATCTCCTTCTCAGGCAGTGTCTTCCCATCGGTGCCGGGGATGTGCCTGGATATGGGCATTTCTCGCAAAATTCCTCTCTAGATACCCCACCGGATCCAGATGGATCCCTCACTGCCTTGAAAGCCCGTCATGTGCAAAGACGCATTGATTGTTCCTTTTTTGATCTTTATTGATTCAAAGAGCTACAGCGCCTCACACTTATCCTGATGCTTTTCTCTAACAGCCCTCTGTGAAACTTCTCGCTCGAAGCTCTCCAGCCATATCTGCAAGCCAAGCAAACCTCACTGAGATCATTCCAAACAACAAAAAACACTTCACGATCCCAACACTTCTCCCAACCAATGCCTCTCCTGACCATGGACAATCACTCTGATTCCGCAAGTTAAAAAATCAGGGCGGAAGTCGTGACGCTCAGGGCCAGCTGAGCTGCGATGGCATCAAATTCCCCGCGGAATCGACAACAGGATCCTGTCAAAAAAAGGAGCGTTCTCAACATGCATGTTCTACAGTATGCTAGCACCATACTAAAAACTAAGCCAACACGAGCTCAGACACTAAGCAAGCGCGAAAGCTGCCAGAAGAACCTGCTGATCTCCAACTCTCAGCAGTCCGTTTGAAAGGAAAGCACTCAATATACAGCAAATGTGTAGTCTGCCCCTTTGCCTCCAGTCCCCCGAAGATGCCTCGATGTTGGTAGAGGCTCATGGATATTAGCTTAAGGCCTTCGGCGATACAGGCAGCTGCTGGCCCCCAGTTCGGGCAAGACAAGTTTTGGGGCCTTTCGATGCTTTCCTTGCGCGGCGTCGTGCGCCAGCTTCACAGCTGACAGCTCGGGCATGCATGTCTCAGAGATGAACGGATTATCCGAGGATTCTATCAACCGAAGATCAAAATGCTCTCATCCCATACCCAAACCCTAAGAGCCTGAAATTCCGCCAATCAGCTTTACACAACAATCCCAAAGCAGCTGAGAGGCCACAGCCCGAGCCGAAGACCGGGGCCTTGCCTGGCGCGCGCCAAGGATTCTTCCGAGACCAGTCCTGGCCAGAAGTTTAGGGTTCGATGGGTTTGCTTGGGGTTCAGGACTTCTTGCCTATCTGTGTAGGACCTTGTTGCCGCTAACCCCAAATGAAGGAGCGACAACTGCCCTTGAAGTTCCAGTAAACGGGTGAAGTCAAGCAAGGAAAACAGAAGCCTAATGAGAATAAAAAAGACTCTACTTCAACTTCCCAAAACCGAGGGCGCCTTCTCCCCAGAGTTGATCTTCACGTTGAAAGTTCGGCTGCTTTCCTCGTTGACCTCGAAGGAGGCATGAGCATCTCTCATGGTCATCCTGAAGGGGTCTTAAAGGCATTTAAGGGCTGTGTAGAGAGATGTAGAGAGTATGTCAATGTAGAATGTAGAGGATATCTAGAATGATCTTGCGGATGACTGTTCCTAGACAAGCTACCACCACATGATTCGAGACCTTCAGATTTGTGGTGCTTTCGCAGGGCCCTGGACTGCAGCCGGGAAACCCTTCACCACTTGAAAGCAGCTGGACTGTTGGTTTGGGAGAAAGCCCAGACTTTTCGCAAGTATCCAGGAAAAGTCCACACCTCCAAGCCTGAATCCCACACCAACAAAATTTCCGGATCCTCAGTGGGGAATCTAGAAGTGTACGAAAGCTATTGACGCATATAGAAAGGAACAGCAAGATTTCTGGGTTCATATTGCCCTTGCAGCAGCGCAGACATGCCGCTAAAGCCATTCTCTCCGTCCACGGTTTCTCTGAGGCGCTTTGGGCTCCCCGGGAATGGTGACGAAATCCGAATACCACATGCAATCCTTGTGGGGCGCTGGGCGTGGGAGGATGGGATGCCCTGGCTCAAGCTTCTCAAGAACCCAAGTGCAAGGTACAGCAGCTGCTTCTTTCTTACGGCTGCTGTCGCTTCGCAGATTTTGCATGTAAGCATTAGTCGACGTGCACCATTTGTTTTCCCATCGGCTCCTTGCAGAGCTGTTGGATACAGTGTCTGTTTCTCAGAGAGACAGCTGTGGAGGTTGTCTTTCTCAACGTTTCCCTGAGCCACGACCTTTTCCTCGATATGCACGCCGAACTAGGGGTCTGAATACGAGCAGCACGTGTGGGTTGCAGACAGCTTCGAAAAAATCGTAGGGCGCCCATCTGTATCCCAAAGCAAGGCCACGTATGAAAAAGGCCTTGCCCTTGATACCCCTGCCACCCAGAGATACCCAAAGAGCTTCCACTTTTCCTCAGAAGAAAACACGGGCTTTGGCCACTGAAAATTCCAAGGGTCATCGAAGGCGCAGCTTCCTGCGTGAGCCAGACTGCCATTTTGCCGCGTGGAGGGTGGCCAGGTTAGTACACCTGAAACGGGGAACATCAAGGAACAATGATCCAGATTACGCAGGGCTTCGCCCCTGCTAGGACTCATAGGATTTGGGAGGTGCCGTTGGGGTAAGAGAGCAGCTTTTGGATCTGGTCGATGCCCATCCTGCTCCACAACCTTCAAACCCGCAAACCGGATGGTGTCTTGAATCTACATGCAACTTGCGTACCAAAGACCTGAGCATCCTGAGCCTAGGTCTGCTTGAGATGAACAAGCCAGGCAAGTTCACGCAACAGTCGAGGTGCCATGCGCACGGGCTCGGTCGATACCGGCAGCGAATAGAAGCAGCGCGATCATTCCTGCACACAGCATCCGCAAACAATGTACGCAACAAATTCTGAAACTAGACACCTGCAACCAACATCACACCCCTCGTCCCTGACACCCTGTAAAGCTCACACTAGGATATCTAATCCTCAAAAAAAAAACGATTCTAAATTGCCTACGCTGTGCTACGCAAAGCATCCAGAGCATCCAGCCTGCAGGAAGCGGGGAAGCGTCAACGGCAGGGCTGCAACGCTTGTGAGCTCTTTCTGGAGCCAAGGGCTGCCTGCTACTCCAGCGCTGTAAAGCTTGCACCGCTCAGCTAACACGTTTCGCACTTATGCTTCGAAAAGCCGTGACTGCACTGCGCACGCTCTTCACCGTGCAGCGTTACTTTCACTGCCATGACAGTCTCGTTGTCTTCGTAGGTTAGTCTCGGCACTGCAGTGTGGCTCTTGGCCTGAAGCAACGCACAAGTCCTGAAAGGAGAAGCCTTCAGTTTGCTCAGGTTTCTGTATTTTTGAATGTTTGTTCCCCGCTTTGTACTATCCATGCTGCAAGAACAAATCCAACCTCTCAGCGAAACCAAAAAAAAAGAACTACTTGGTGAGTAAATTTGCTCAACTTTGCATGCTGTCCAGGCTAAACATTTCGGAGGTCGAGGGTTGTTGGACGTAACGCTTTGGGGCTCCTGTTTTGGATCTAGAGTGAAGCTCCCCGGTGTACAAGTTAAGCAGCCTCGCAACAGAAAACAAAGTCGTGCATGAAAGACTGAAAACAGTGTCCATTCGCAGCCACTGCTGCTGCCGGATGGGAACAATCCAAAGCCTCCAATCGATGACCTTTTTGTGGAAACCTATTGCAACATCAATATCTGCTAATACAAGAAAAGGAAGCCGCAGAACGTACAACGATTCCAACTATTAGGAAATAGGACTGGGTTTCACACAAGTCGAGCCGTATCATTTCCTTCTTCTTCCCGCCCGGCCGGACAGCACCTGGATGCTTTACGCCCCTGCTTTGGATCGGAACAATGCTGTTATCCTGAAGGTGCAATACTACCGCCTTGCAAATGATCAGACTTGCCGCCATCATCATCTTACACATTGCCATGCTTTTCGTTGATACCAAGTTCAGATGGACACAAAAGTCAAGACCACATCACCGGCACATGCTTCTGCTTTTGCCACGAGAAGATGCACCTGGGCACCACCCAAATACAAAGGCACAGATACTTAAATGATAGGAAACCTACAAATAGAGGGAGTCTCTCCCTGTTTGAGAGCCCTCCAAATCAGGCAGGGCGCCGAAAGCCAAGCGCAGCGGAGGAAGGGCCAGGGTCTCGGGTGGCAGGACGCTTGCTGATCCTGGATGTGCCTCTATGGCTTTACGGTGTAACCTGGGCCTGCACGTAACGCAAACAAGGATGCCTGTCAGGACCTCGTTGAAACTGCACAAATAAGCAGAATGCCCAGGAAGCCAGGACTTCACACGGTAACAGGCGCAGCTTTGAGGTGCTTGCTCAGCACTAGCGAGCACGCACCTTCATAAACAATTTCAAACGACACGATGGCAATCTTAAGTTGATCAACTCTCCTTGATGCAAGCTTTAAACCTTCAAAAACGAGGTCCTGAAGCCTCCAGTAGGAAATAAGTTCAGCCTCCGTCATTTTCCTCCCAGAAGCCTAACTCCAAAGCCTGCCAGGTAGCATATCAATACAGAAGCATGGGAAGCCTGCACTTGTTGACGCTACTGCATTCACCCCATTTTGAGCATGCCTCATTCTCTCCGTTGGTGCTAGAGGGTGTGCAACGGAGTGTTGAGGCATTTGGAAAAGCAAGGAGTCTAGTACGCAGAAATGTAAAGTAGAAGCAAAGCTTACAACTGCGTATCGTCCTTGATTTCGCACCCTGCGCAGTGGTAGAAGCTACCTGGTTTCAAGCTTGATTCAGATCAAGACAGTGCTCTAAATGAAGTGGCGGGCACCCACATGCACAAAGCCACCATCCTCAAGCCTTCCCTGAAGCTCTGAGACCTACCTCCCAGCTGAATGACCCTGAAATGCTGAAGACTTTGTGTTTCCCTCAGGCCACGGGCAGGATAGTCGCGTTGGCGGACGTACAGCTCAAAGAATAAGTTTGAATTCGTCATCTGTCAGAGAAGGCTATCAGAATTCGGGCTGCGGTATTGATCAAGCTTGCAGCAGACAATCCAAGCAGCCATAGCTTGTGTCCAATCTTAGACTATTCGAGGTTTAACTGTGGTCCTGAGATGAGGGTCATTGTCATGAGGAGGAATTCGGAATGGTCATCAGGCCAAGGCACAGGGAACGAGTCGTGTCCGGGTCTTGCCTTGCTTATATAATGCCAACACATGTGGCAACTCGGGTTCAGGAGCCTGCGACTTGACAGTTTGGTCCGGATGAGCTGTTTGTTTGTGAGGCTCCAAACCTTCAGGTTTGTGCGATTGGTGCGTCTGGTCCTGCTTGTGACATGAGTGGCACGCAAAAGGTACCCGTCTCGAACAGGTTGCCATGCTTTGACGGTACACGCATACGAAGAGCTTTAGCCCCGACTTCGAACCTGCTCTTAGACTCCCTGAACTTTCACCTTCTCAAAGCAGTACATCACTCACAGCTCTGTCAAGGTTGGCTTTTGCCATGACGGAACTGGGATGCAAATTGTCGGTTTACAATATATTTCTTGAGTCTCCTCCCTCACAGCCTCAAGCGGGAGATCTTTGTCCTGCTTGGGCAAGTCCTGGCGAAGGCTAATGGCAGCAACCTTCTGGGAGTGCCATGCTAAGCTAGGTATGGAGTTCAAAATTGAGAGGTTAGTTTGGGGCTGCAAAACAGCATGATGCTCACCAAGTCATCATAAGCACAGGCTGGTTTGGAGCTCTTCCTCTGCCCACAAGGCCCCAAATCCCCACCTTGCAAGGAACTTGACTGTCCATTGTCGCATACGTGCTCTGAATCTACGTATGCCATGTGTCAAGCCTGTCATGCAAGTGATGGCCTCAGTAACCGATGTTGCTTATGCATATTCACTAATGCCAGCCGACTTGTAGAACTGCGGTTCACTGCAACTAAGTTTCACTGACAGTGCAGCCGGAAGCTAAGGTTGGCAAATTAAACTGGGACTAGGATCTTAGCCAGCTTGCAACTACAAGCCCCATAACCCGCGTCCTGCAGGCAGGCTCAACCATTTCTACCTTTACCCTGCCCCGCCCACGCATGTACCAGACTTCACACCCTGAATGACAGCAATATATCCCGCCTGCCAGTTCTGAACCAGTTGGACCTCATCATTACTGAGGACGCTGATGTTCAGGCAGGTGGAGAAATACCTTTGGAACAAGGGATGCTGGCAGCGGTCTAAGCAAGGCACCGCAAGCCCTGGAGCAGGGCAACATCCATACGGGCTCAAATTGACACATCTGTTTGTGTCACTGGTACGTTCCATAAGCGAGTCCGACTTTAAGCATGCACGGTTCGCACGCAAGTGGCTGGCTTGGCCCCCAAGCAGCTCTCTTGGTTTCAGGGATGAATAAGGGACTAGGGAGGAGGTACAAACAAACCTGTAAAGCTCTACACGTCCTGTCCAGTGCAAGCACGCCGCGGGACGTTTGCAGCCCGATTCCTGGTGGCTTCTGGGATCCTGGCTGCACAAACACAAGATGACATGCCTCTGCTTCAAGAGGCATATGTTCCAATCATCGGCCAGGCCGCGTAAATCCTACGTTCAAGGCATTCAACTTCAGAATCGGAACCCCCCCCAAACCAGCTATGGTGTAGAAGCCTGAATAACTTGGAAAACTATCCCAACCTAAATAATCTCTTTTTAACTTTTAGCTATAGCGCTCTTCGCACCCAAGCTCGATTCCGAGCATTCGGACCCCACGTGCCATCCTTGTCCAGAGTTTCCATATTTTACCATTCGGTTTGCATGTGTTACTCCAACTTAGGCCGCTAAAGCCCGTCATGCTTAAACAATGTGTCGTCTGTTATGAAAAATCCCAAACTTGAGAACTAAAGATGGGCGGGCAAGACAAAACCCGTTCTGTACTAAAGATAAGCCGCAAAGCCTCGCACTGAAAATTCCATCGACACAAGATCTGACAGACGTGAAACCCAATCAAATCCTGAAATCCAAACCTCAATCCATGTC